CGCGCGGGCGCGCGCGCGCACACACACACACACACACACACACACACACACACACACACACACACACTACTAGTGTACAACTAAGATACAATGCAACCTACTTTGTTCGCTTAACAATATGTCTTAGAAACAAACTCGTGTTTTACCTGAAGCCCATGAGGCCGAGGTTTGAGAGGCCGGAAGAAGACTGAGGACAGAAGCGCTGAGGTCGCAGACCACTGGAGCTCCGGGCCCCGTCGGGCCCGCCCTCCCCGGCCGGACGAACAGCGGGCGAGAGGAAGTGGGAAGCTCCGTAGCTCTCGCCAGGGTTTCCCGTATTCCCCCCACCGACACTGAGACGAAAGTTAGCCCGGAAACTTGCGCCCGCCGGAAACCTGGCCTGGTCCATCCTCTGCCCCAGGAACTTCCCAGGCGGGAGCTGAAGTCCGCCCGCCGGGCTGCATTCCGGGGCGCAGCGCCCCCTGTCGGCGGCTCGGGGAAAGCCCGCTTTGACTTGTGTGCACTTGGTGTGAGCGAATACGTGTGTATGCGGATGCTGGGGCGGGGGGTCTGCCACCAGCCTGCACCTTTGCACGCCTCTTAGCAGTTTTAAATTCTGCTCGAAAAGGCGTCTTTACTCAGCTCACCCTGTGCATCTCCGCAGGGCAGATATGCGCGCCAGTGAAATGATGCAGTTTGGAAGTCCCTGAGCTCACGCTTGAGGGTGACAAAGGTTGTGCGCTTGCCTGTGTCTACTTAACTCTCCGCTGCCCTCTGTCTGTGAACAAGTCTCTGTGAGCACGGACGCCTCTGCACACGCGGAGTCTCCTCTGCGGTACACACATTTCTGAGGTTTCCCGGGGCAGTGCCTCGATGAATGTATGTGTAGGGTCTGAAATCGGGATACAGGTGGAGTAATGTAGGGCCAAGTGCCCCAGGTACCCTGAAGCCTTTGCCCATCACCTCATCTCCTTGACTTGACTTTGAAAGAAGCACGGCTTTTGCTCCTGGGGCCTTTGGCATATACAGTTGCTCCATCCTGATGCAAACTCAGCTTTCCCCATGGCCTTCCTTATTTACCCGTCTGTGGAACCCAGGGAGGCTGCCTAGTGCTTGCCAAGCCCTTTGGCTGTGATGTAAACCCAAAGAAAGAAGCATCTCTAATCTCCTTCCTTCTTCTCTACCCCAAAGTCATTTCCTCCTACCTGGGATTTCGAGGTCTGCTTTCCCTGAGCATTTATTGATACACAGAGAGGGGCGTGGGGTGGGGAGAGGAACTTCTTGAAATTCCCCCAGAAGGTTTTGAGAATAGCTTTTCATGTTGCAACTTCCAACAAATCAGTTTCTAGTTTGGCTTTCCATCAGAAAGCTCAGTAGGAGTAGAATATATATAAGCTCCGGTAGCAACAACAGGAGCACAAGAGACAACGGTTTCAGGCCCCCTGCACCCTGCAGCCTCCACCAAAGCAAGGTAAGCACCTGCCTGTACCCCTTCCTTCAGCCTGCGGGGCGCCCTTGCACCAGGAAGCATGGAGGGGATGGTTTTTTAGAAGCGTCCCTGGGGGCTTAACCTGATGGGACACTAAATACTTTGAGGGCTAAGGTATAAAGTGTTAATTTTTTAAATCGGCTAATAATGATTGTAATAATTTGAGCCTTGTGAACAGATGCTCTTGTTTGACAAAACACGTTTGACAGAAAGGTTTGTTTTGTCTTCGTATATACATATATAAAAGAGTGTTCCTAAGTATTACTGTCCATTTGTTAAAGGATTGTGTAGAATTAATGTGAATGGTGCTTGCCTTAGTACTAAACAACTTTTTAAAAGGCTCTTCATGCATTTAATGGTATTAAATTCATATTTACTGTGGCTCATAACTGACTATTTCAGACTGTACTTGCCCTTATATTTCTGATGGACTTTATAGCCAGTTATCAACTAAATTGGATAACTTGGTTCTCTGGTTGTTTTGGAATAGCTAACAGCGGCCCTACTTAGAAAATGAAAAGCAGTGGGAATGTTTAAAGCTACTTTCTGAAGTGTTTTAAAAGCCTATGAGAAGGGGAAAAATACTTCTTACTGTACTGATGTTTCATACTTGTCCAGACAAAACTGTGTACAACAGTATGGTCACTTCAACGAGGGGTTCCCCAAACCCTAGCTCCTGGCTCACCTTTTTCAAGTAAGGACTTTTAAAATCATAGACAAAAGTTGGGTAACCTCTTAAAGTTCATTTTAGTGGGATCTGAAGTGGCCTTTATACATTCATTTAATTAACAATTTGGGAAATCTCTCTAGACTAGACTCTGGGCATAGAGTGTAAAACAAGACAGACACGTGCTCTTCCATCAGAGACTTCAGAATTGCAGAACAGACAAACGTTAAAGAACCAACCACGTTATTACCACTGTGAACGGATATATTGGAAGAAAGAGAGCAAAAAGTCAGGGGACCTGACTTCATCTGGGCACCATGCTGGATACGTTCTATAAATTATTTCATTAGCTCCTCACCCCAACTGGGTGCCTATTTCACAGATTAAGAGTGTGAGGCTGAAAGAGGTCATCATGCTCCCCCCAGGGTCACACAACTGGCAAGTGGTAGAGCAAGGATGCCAATCTGAGAGATCTCCGTGGCTCTAGAACTGGGGTACTATACACGTGTTGCCCATGCCATCTGTGACTGTGTCTTTTATTTTAAAATAGCAATTCTCTTTTTGAATTAAAAGTAGCAAGCAAAATGAAACTTGCAAAAGAGATGCCCATCAAGTGTCAATGGCACACCCATGTTCGCACCAGTGTTAGGGAGCATTGGCATATCCCACGAAGCAGGAATGCTTAACCCAGTCCCTTTGTCCTTTGTGCAAGGGTTTCAGGAGTTTAGAAAACCTATAAAATTGCATGAAACATATTTTATCCTTAAGACTCGAACTTCCTGTGCCAAGGAAGTGTGGGCCGAGAGATGTTTCCAGTTGTAATCAGCCAGGGAGGTAAATGACCACATACAGCACCTTGTTCTGTCTTTCTGAGTTTGATCTTCATCGCTTGCCATACATGATTCCAAATTGGTACTGTTTCTTAAGAGCAGTGCCAGAGCTCCCTTGACCCTGGAGTGTAATTCACCTGAAGTGCTCAGGTCCATGGGAGGCCGAGAGAGGAAGTGCTTGGCACATGGCCCAAGGGAAAATCCTGCCATTAAGAGACTATAAAGGAATCAGCAAGAGATGCCAGGAATCTCTATCATTTCCGTTTGCAGAGTGCTGACATCTGGGACTTATTGACCCATGTAACTGCAGTACCTCGATGCATTTCCCTACAGTCTAGCATGACAATTTTGGCTATCCACTATACCAACAACACAGAGATCCATTTTCCCCTCATCTCTTCTGCTGGAGACAAGCTAATGTTATCAGTTGCTTTTTATACTATGTCGTGTCATTGTGTCTCCCAGCAAAACTTTCAGATGACAAAGCCTTTTATTTATGTCCATTTTATACATGAAGAGACTGAGGCTCAGCGTAACTTGACCAACATCATAAAGCTAGTGAGGGGGGACCAAAATTCAAGCCTCTGTCTTCTTGTCTCCAATCCTTGGAACATACCAATCAGTCCCCTCCACCAAGTACTACTTTGCTATAATCATAATGCAGGTTGAATTGAAAACCAGATCCCTGACACTCCCTCTGAAGTGACAAGAGTACACTTAACAGTATCCCAGGTCTAACTTCTACTCCTGTTTCCGCCACTCATGAGTTTATCATATAAGGGAATAAAGCACGTAGCAAGGTCCTCCTGCAATCAGCAGCAGTTCTGACAAAGCGATGGTCCCCAACCAAGGGATTTGGCTGGAACATTTAAGCCTTGTTCTTCATATGATTTAGACCACTAGTATTGGAAATCAAGTTCCTGCTGTGTGTTGCTGTTCTCCGACATGGATGGAGGGAAGGAAGGAAATTAAACAATAATCATCTCAACCTAATTTATAAGTTGAGATGTAATTTTCACAACCTGAAGATTTCCATAAACCTTGGATAATAATCTATACTGAGCGTTAACAAAAGGTAGCAGCTGAGTGAGCACAACACTGTGAATGTCATTATTTCATGATGAGGATAGCAAAATTTTGTGGTCTTCTTTCAAGAAACACTATGACTTTCAAGAGTTCTGAAACCTGAATGTGCTTTAAACCGTTTGTTCCTCAAAGCGTGGTCTCCAGAACAGCAGCTTCACCTGGAACCTTATTAGAAATGCAGATCCTCAGGCCTTGCCCCTAGATTACAGAATCAAATCCTGGGGGAAGAGCCAGCAGTCTTTTTAAATAAGTCTTTCAGGTTCTTCTGTTCCTGTATGCTCAAGTTTGAGAACTGCTGAGTTACTTTACACAGGAAGGAGTTTTTGGGACTCCGTGACAATTGCTGTCAAAACAAGAGAAACTAAGTCTCAAGGCTGTGGCCAGAGCTTGAAGAGAACCCTCTATATTACCTTTCCTGTTACGAACCCAAGTCCTTCACATCCCTGGGCATCTCAACACATATTGCCTTATACTACCATGATACAGGTAGTGGCTTATCTTCCCAACTGGAGGTGAAGCAGTTGATACACTGATTTAATAAATATTCATTGAGTGAAAATATTCACTCCTAGAAAGCAGGATGTATGTGAAATCTACCTCACATTTGCAACTCTCCTAGCTCAATGCAGTCTTCTTCCTTTTGTAGTCTTAGGTTTCTCATCTGAAAAACAAGAGGATTGTATCAGATCGTTAGGCCTGTCTCTTTCAGCCCCACGTTGCCTATCTATGTTCTCCATCTGGAGATATTCTTACCAGAGACTGGAGTGAGACACTTGGTCTTATCCAAATGGTGTGAGGAAAGGGGAAAGTCAAGATTAAAAATGTGCATAGGATATGAACATGTTTCCCAAAGCTAACTGAGTAGTGACTGATATTATCTGTTCCCCTCTCCTGCCCCTTCTTTCTCTTTTGCTCTTTCTCTTCCTCCTGCTTCTCCTGCTCCTTGCAGATGTGTCATCGGCAGTTGATCACCTCCTGGTTTTCCCTGGTGATGCTGGTGTCTCCCCTCGTGGCCATCTGGGAACTGAAGAAAGATGGTAACCAGCCCCTCCTTCTCCCTGTCGAGGGCTGACATTCCAAGTCAGAGTTCGCTCACAGGCAGAGCTGATGAGAAATAAGCCTGGCATGGGCCGTCCTACACTGGGCTCTCCACACAAGAGCCATTGTCTGTGACAGGGCAAAGCCACGTTTCTTCCTTTTCCTTTCAGGGCATCTAGATCACTGGGTTTTTCATTCTGGATGCCAGAAAAGGAGCTTTCTGTGGACTGGGGTGGAAAAAAGGGACATTGCCTTTTCCAAGTGTTTTAAAACAATTGAAATTCCAAAGTATCGTAAAAGTATTAGGCCTGTGTTTCTCTCATCTCCCTCTTTACCATACCATATTGTACCCTCTGATTGAGCACTTTGGAGACAGCATAGGATTGAGACTCGCCTGTCATGGGTTCAAGTGCTGTTTCTGCCAGTTACTGGTTCTGTAAACTTAATCTGGACCACTGCTGAGCCTTGGCTCCAACTATAAACTGGGTAAAAGAAAGCGACACCCACCACATGTGCAATTGTGTTCATGAATATAGAAGACAATGCAATAGATAGTAAAGTGAAAGTAAAAGTTAGCTAGTACTCTTTGGGTTATTTAAAATACTGTGAACTTTTTACTATCGCAGTGATCAATTAGAGTTACTAGTAGCTTAACAGAACAGGTATTAGTAGAATAAGAGGCTCCTTCTGTTCTGTTCATATTTCACAGTGGCCCTTGCATATTCAACTCCTTACTGACATCTGGTAAGCCACAGAAATTCCAGGATGTCAATGTGAGAAACACTTAGCAGGCTGTGGTGTGGGAAACAAGCTTCTGGGTCTCAGCCAGCTGCTGGCTTCAGAATGCTACTCACCAGTATTCCTCTAGAGGCAACTTTCTCTGCTTTTGGGCCAAGGTCTTCTAGAGTTTCTGGGTCTTAGTTGTGACCGGAAATTAACCATGCTCTTCAGTTGCCCAGGGCACAAAGCAGAACCAGAGAAAGCCAAAGGTTCAGTGTCGTCTTATGTCAGCACAGCTAATCGTTTCCGAGAGTTGGGCCCTGAGTGCTTTTCAACTCTTACCTTTATTACGTGCTCCGTGGTTGCAAATCCTGTTGCTGTATATGAGAACTTTGTATTTCACAATGCTTTACACTAGGATGCTAAGTGTAGTCAGAAGAACCACCTGCTTACAGAGCATTTAAGGGCACTATGAAAAGCTCATATGAATCAACTTCCATATTCCACATGACAACTTTCAAAAGCAAGTATGAATGCTTTTCTCATTTTGAAGATGATGGCATCAAAGCTTAAAGTAGTTGCTCCCTGCACAAGGCCATAAGCCAGCGTAAGGCCCAGAGCTGATTCTAATCCAGAACTGAGTTGCTCAAAAACCCACACTTTTTTTCTTCACTGCAGAGGCTGTCAAATCTGAGAGGCATTGAAATCGTCTGGGGGGTGGTGGGGAAACTTCAAAGCCAGATCACTAGGCCCACCCCTCAGTTTCTGATGCAGCAGTTGACACTGCATTTCTAACAAGTCCCCTGAGCTGCTGCTGCTGCTGCTGGTTGAGCGCTCAGGTTTTGAGAACCACTGCCCTAAACTGGTCTACTCGGGTAATAATTGATGCATGGATAAATGAGTGAGTGGAGCTTTGATGTGACACACTCTGTAATGCTGTACTGAGCCATTCCTCAAGTGTCACCGTAGATAACTGGCATTAGATATCCACTGAAAAACTTCAGACACAAGAGGGTCTGAGGTGCAGCTCTCATCCTCCGGATAGATGTGACTTGGCTTAGACCCTTGGCTTTAGCGCACTCCTCTATAAAAAGGGAAGGCTAAGGTCTACCTGACTGCTTCATAAAAATGTAAGATGGATTAAAAAAAACAAAACTGATAAAGATAATGACTCTCCATTTCAGCTTCATGCACATGGAACTAAATCCTCAAATCCCCATAAAAATTTTAAGAGTTTTACAGTGCAGTTGGCCAACTCTTATACTATGGACAACAATAACAACTAACATAGAGTTTATCCCATGGCAGATTCTGCACTGATTGCTTCACATGCTTTTTTCACTTACTTCTCAGAGCCAAGCCTAAAACATAGATACTATTACTATTATCATTTGGCAGATGAGGAAACCAAGACTGGTTAAACACCTTGGTCTAGATGGCCCCTGCCAGTTAGCAGAGACAGGATTACAGGTCTAATCAGTGTTTTGGGACACACAGTGCTTCTAACCACTGTTTTTCTCTGCTCAATACTGTATTTTACCCCATGAAATCAAAACTGTGTTAAAGTTTATCTCCATCAGACCTTTGCCAGAGAATGTTGTGCTTTGCAGTTTTTGACGTATCAAGGTCTTTCTCCTTGTGCCCACTAATCAGAGATTAATTATTAAAGAGCCTGCCAGTGAATGAGTTGGTGGCAGCTATAAAATTATTTGCTTCTCATTTCCATGCTCTTGAGCTCAAGCGGAGCCCAGGGTTCTAATATCCTCTCATGAAGCATTCCCCAAACACGAAGGAATGAGTTTGTGCTCAGGGAGGGTGGATGCCCAGAGGGTAAATAAAAAACACACTCTGGAAATCCATTCGGCTCAGAGTCTGGTCTCTACTCCTGTGCCCTTCAGTTTATGTCGTCGAGTTGGACTGGCACCCTGATGCTGCTGGAGAGATAGTGGTTCTCACCTGCGACACTGCTGAGGAAGATGGCATCACATGGACCTCAGACCAGAGGGGTGAGGTTGGCTCTGGTAAAAACCTGACCATCCGAGTGAAAGAGTTTAGAGACGCCGGACCCTACACCTGTCACAAAGGAGGCAAGGCTCTGAGCCATTTGCTCCTGCTACTTCACAAAATGGAGGATGGAATTTGGTCCACTGACATTTTAAAGGACCAGAAAGGTAATTTTATTTCCTTGGATAGTCTAATTTTTATCTCCCCATCCTCAAACAAAAACAAAAATTGAAAAATTGGAATGGAAGTCACACTTAACTCATGAACAGCAAGTTCCTTACTAAAACTACAGAACCTCCATTTTCCTTTGCTTTCTAAAAATTTGGGGGTTCTCGGGTATAACAATAACATATTGAGAAACTACCAGTCTGAACCCTTGTCCTGAGGTTTTGTTCAAGTAATGGAGATACTGTTGGATGTCTAATGAAAATTATCCATTATGTATGGTGCATAACTCATTACTGGGGTGATGGCCTTGAACAAAGTTAATACTGACATGTCAAGGGTGTAGAGTAGTACACTCTGCAGAATCAGCATCTGGTTGGCCACTCCCAATTTTTGCTGACCTACGTGCCACAGATGCAGCATCATTTTTCAAGGGAATAAACTGAATAACATCACCCTTGTACCAATTGATGGCCAATGATTAATTACAATCAAAGTCTTTCTGGAAAAATAAAACCCTCTTAAATATTGGATTTTTTTTTCTTTTCAAATCCAGAACCCAAAAGCAAGACCTTTCTGAAATGTGAGGCGACAAGTTATTCTGGACGTTTCACCTGCTGGTGGCTGACAGCAATCAGTACTGATGTGACATTCACTGTCAAGGTCAGCAGGGGGTAAGTGAAGCCACTCTAGCTTACCAGTATTTTGATGCATCTATTTCATTAAGAAAGTAAGAGCAAACTGTCCCTTTGGCTAAACTGAAGAAAAAATATGGCTATTTAAGCCAATCCTCTAAACAAATGCATGTGTTAGAGCAGGACATTCAAGATTCCTGAGAATAGCCTCAGACGCATTTGAACCTACTCGTCCAAGTTGCCTGGCAAGGCTTTGTTAAGGCCGATAGCACCATAGGGAAAATACAAAGGAGAAATCAAAGCTACAAATGATTTGCCAAAAGGGTACCTGGAGTCAAGAAACAAACAACTGCTCTACATTGTAGATCTGGGAAACCCTGAAACAGACTCCAAAACTCTTTGAAGCCTCCTAAAAATTTCCCAGGGACACTTCAGCTCCTTTTTTTTCTTCTGCGGATACAACTCATCTGATGACCACTGTTTGTCCAAGACACTTAAAACTTTCCCTAAGAAACCATTTCCATGGATGCAGAGCTCGTGTGGAGCTCTCTGTGGAGCTGAATTTAATCATCATCTAAATTCCTGAGCAGGACAGTGGAACAAACCCTAGGTGATCATCAGGCTTTGCAATCCTTTAAATAAGTAGATTAAGCACTGGGGTCTGGCTCTCCCATCTTTAAGGAGAAAACATGTACTACAGAAGTTCTTACACCAGTCCTCAAACACATAGCTGCCTGTCTGAGGTGCATTGTAACATTTTGGGAAGTCAGCACAGGAATGGTTAAACAGAATATAGTATATTATACTCAGGCTTCATAGGCATTTATTAAAATGAATAACCTAATCTATGTGTTCTGTCATGGGGAGTTTACTATAATATTTTCAAAGGGGTACAGCATGGTTGCAAAATCTTATGTATGTAATTTGATACTACTTTATTAAAAATCTATTTATGTATAGATAATATATGCTCATATGCAAGTAGATATATGATTATCCTTTTTTTTTTTTTTTTTGTACTGGGAATCAAACTCAGGATCTTGCACTTTTGAGACAGGCAAGAGAACCACTGACTAAATCCCTGGCCGGATATATGATTATCTTGAAAGTCATTGAAATAAGTCTGGAGGAATCAACAATCTATAAATACTTTGTTGGGGAAATTTTCTGTCCAAGGAATGAAGTTGGGATTGAAGGGGGAATAGAGGCACATAATATTTCCTTCAAATATATCTTTAATGTTTTAATTTTTTTTTCTTGGTACCAGGGATCAAACTCTGGACCTTACGCTTGCAAGGCAGGCAGCAGAACCGCTGAGCTAAATCCTGGCTCTAATGTTTTAATTCTTATAATTGGTGTATATGTATTGATTTTGTTAGTAAGAAAAAACAACTTAAAATTTAGTAAGGGATGTTATCAGCTACTCTGGCTCTAAAAACTTTCCAGATTCATTTAGACTGAGGTGCGTGAGTATAGGTTCCTAGCTCTTGAAAGCTAAGCTTGTTCTCCCTGAGAAGGTGGTTGCTTACTCCAGGGAGGAAATCAGCAGGCCGGGCAAACTGTGCTCCTCGACACTGTTGAAGCCTTACCTGCCTTGTTGGCTATAATCACTAGGAACTTGTTCGCCACACACAAGCTAATTTCTGTCTTTGTCTTCAGCTTCTCTGACCCCTCCGGAGTGACTTGTGGAGCAGCAACACTGTCCTCAGAGAGGGTCAGAGTAGACCACAGAGAGTATAAGAAGTACTCAGTGCAGTGTCAGGAGGACAGCTCCTGCCCCGCCGCAGAAGAGAGGCTACCTATTGAGGTGGTGATGGACGTTATTCACAAGCACAAATACGAAAAGTACATCAGCAGCTTCTACATCAGAGACATCAGTGAGTTCAAAATGCTTATTTGCACTTCGTCAGGAAAGATGCCATTTGCCACAGAGCACAGGGGCTGGATAAGGAGGGGCTTTACCTGCATTCCCTTTGATTCTGCACCCCTTCCCCAAAACATATAATGTGGGTGCAGTTTTCTACGTTTCTTTTAAAGAGGAGGAAACTGACTCTTAGAAATGTTAAGCTGTTTTATCCCAGATCTCAGATCTTACCACTGGTAATTCAGACCCACATCTGCCTTACTGGAGAAAGCATGCTCTGTAGTACACTTCTAGCTTGCTATCCAGTTAGATGACACAAAGGATCCAGGGGTGTCTCAGTCATATGTATATTCAGAGCCAGAACTTTTCCTATTAAATGCAATCATCTTTCTCTAGCATCCAAAAAATACATACAGGATCATATACATACATATACATACATATATATATATATATATACAGGATATATATATATATGTATATATATTCAGAAAATGCTTTATATAAAGTCCTCCAAAATTGACACCTATTTTTTTAATTGGCAGATAGAAATTTCATCATTAACCATTTGTTCATTGAACAAGCATCATGATAAAGCTTGTTAAGGTCAGGATCACAGAACTTGCTGTGGCATTTGTGGAAAGTTTGGATGGGGCAGGTGGAAGAGGCTGGGATGTGGTTCACAAGGTGTCCAGGGAAACCCTCTCTGAGAGGATGGCGTTAGCTGAGACCTAAAGGAAAGACATCAGTTGTATTGAGAACAGAGGGAAGAATACTTGCCAAGCACCTGCTAGGATCCAGGATCTCTGTATGGAGCAGTGTTGGCCTCCAGAACCCACGCACATTCCATGGAAAGTCTCCTCTCCCTGAAGTAGCAGAAAATCCCCGTCTGGAGAATAGAATCTTCCTGCTACTTATTGCTGTATCCTCCAGCCAGAGTCCAGTGATGGCATTTAATGGGTGCTCAGTAATTATTTATAGCAAAAATGAATGAGCAGAGAGACATTTGGCTCTGCTACAAGACAAGTCTGTAACGGCAGCTATGAAAAGACCAAAGAAGGAGCAGGAAGTGGAAAATCTCCCATTTCACCCCCAAGGAGTGACTCAGCTCAGCTCAGTTCTGTGTTTAGTGCAAAGCAAGGGAGTAAGCGGAAGAAGGGTGGCCCTTCACTGCAGACCCCATACAGGAGAGCACTACGCAGGGGTGGTGCCACCGCCAGGGCCCATCTGGTGGTGCCCTGATGACAAGGATTCTGAGCTTCCCTCAGGTTCCAAAGTAAAGGCTGTGGCCACTGAAGATGACCCCCTCCCATGAGCACCAACAGGAACATCTGCAACAGAGGGGTTTCCCTCATGCGGGCCAAGTGCTCGGAGAAAGCTAAGGAACTACCTGTTACTCACAGCTGTTCACAGGGGCAAGGGGGTTAGAAGCCAAAACCACCTAATTCCAAAGCCCCACTAGGAAAATAAATGGTGTTTGTCCTTTTCCACAGTCAAACCAGACCCACCGAAGAACCTGCAGCTGAAGCCATTGATGAATTTTCCTCAGGTGGAGGTCAGCTGGGAGTATCCTGACACCTGGAGCACACCACATTCCTACTTCTCCCTTAGATTTGCAGTTCAGGTCCAGAACAAGAAAGGGACGCCGGTAAGGTGTGATCCAGGAGCAGTATGTGCTGCGGTTCTAAGTGGTTGTATGTGGGTGCACGTGGGCACAGACAGGAGAGAAGTGAAGGCAAATTACAACTGCTGTGAGCTTGCTGTGTGCCTGGGACTGTGGCAAGGGCTTTCCATGTCAATCCTATTTAACCCACACAGTGAACCCGAGGACAGCAGCTAATATTACTATCACCGCTGGGCAAGGGAAGTTCAGACGTTGAAGCTCAGAGAGGTCATGACCTTCCTAAGGTCGTCCGGCTAGGACGTGACAGAGCTGGCACACAGACTCAGTCTGCCAGACACAAAAACTGGGAACCTACCCACCCCACTGCCTTTGGTCTGGCCAATCATTAATCCATGTGCCAGTATTGATCCTACTGTAGGAGTTCTAGGCTGTGGGAACCCAAAATGATCATTTCGCCTGGCTGAATATAGTGAGGGACAGAACATTCATAATTAACCTTGCCCGATATGGCTATTCCAAGTATTGTGAAACTACTTCACTATAGGCTGAAACAATGGCTTTTCAACTTTTTTTTTCACCTTAGTATCGTAACTCTTTTGCCTCTTGCAAAGTTCTAGAGACACTTTTATAGAGACCCATCCTTCTTAAACTCCACTTTTAAAATCAGCAGAAAAGGCTCATTTAGCATGTGCTAGAGACTCAGTGACTTGGCCACTCCCTGAAAAAGAGGAAGGGGGAGGTGGATTATTCTGGAATAGTCTGGAATACCTAAATATTACCTAAAATCTTAGAGGTACTTTCTTATTTAAGAAACACATACATCATTAATAGATGATAGTGGGTACTGTTTAGGTACTAAAGTCTTGCTCAGAGTTTTTACAAGATCATTATCTTTAACTTCTGCAGTTCTAGGAAATAAGTGTTGGTATCCCTGTTTATACATGAGGAAAGGAACAGAGAGCCTAAGATATTTTGTTGAAGTCTCAAAGCAATTAAGTAACACTGGCAGGATTTGAAAGCTTTGTTGATGAAAGAGTCAGAATACGGTGTTTCTAGACTCCCAGGGGACAGCTAGAGACAGTCTGTCTGTGCTTGGGGCTGGGGTGACAGGGTACCTCTGCAGAAAGGTGAAAGCAGGACCAAATCGTTTCTCTCTCAAAGACTGCAAAGCAGCAGTCACATCTGTGTTTTGTGCACCTGCCAGCAGGTGGTGCAAGTTCTGTTCAGTTGCCTGTTAATCACAAGGGTAGTGCTCTGAGACCAGTTGTGCACGTCCGGAAGGCAGGCCATACCTGCAGAATCAGGATAGGCCTTCCCTGACTGCAAGGGCAATGGGCCTTACAGAGTTCCTTCCTCTTTACAGAAAGAAAGACTCTTAACTGACAAGACCTCAGCCACAGTTTCATGCCGCAAGAATGCGAAGGTGTACGTGCAAGCCCAGGACCGCTACTACAGCTCATCTTGGAGCGAATGGGCCTCTGTGTCCTGCAATTAGGTGAGCAGGACCGCAAAGTACTGCACACCAGTGATGACAGGGTGGGAGCTGTTGGGGAAAGGAAGGGAAGAATGGGGTGCCCAGCAGAGAGACAACAGAATCAGAAACATTTTTGTTCATTAACAATAATGATTTGATGCTTCTATTATGTCAGGCATTGTGCTGAGCCCAGGGATAGTGCAGTAAAGAAAACAGGCCAAGGTCCTCCTGCCCTCATAAAGCGGGGGGGTGGGGGTGGGGATCAGAGCAAAAGGGACTTAGAAGCTTCTAGGCAATAAAACCTTATACTGGGGGTCCTGAGTAGCATCTAAGGGTTTTAAACAAGGAAGTAACCCAATCAGACATTCCATTAAGAAACACCCTCAAGAGAGCTTTTCCAGCCAGCATGATAACAGCCAAATTTTAGTCCACGGAAGGTAATGTTAGTCCTTCTCACATGGCTCCTCCAAACCCCACAGCCTCAGATGATGGAGTATAAGAAGTGAGGAGGGTTTGGCACACTTCTAATCCACATGGGTTTCCAACATTCTTTTTCAGGTTCCAATCCCAGAATGCAATTTCAGAGGAGAAATGGAAGAGATTAGGCAAAAGATCCTAAAGCCATGATCGAGGAGACCAAACAAGACATTTTATTAATTTGCTTAAAATTTTAGGATCTTTGCTATATTTTTATATAGTCTAAATGCATACCTACACAATGAGCTAATTTATTTATAGGTTTTTTGATACTCTAATTGCCACTGACCTTAATGCTATTTAAATATTTAAGTAATATATGTATTTATTAATTTATTGCTATTATTTAATGTTTTTGTGCCAGGATGTATTGGGTGTTTCATATTCATGACCTGATCTATATGGATCAAGCCCTTTGATGCAAAATGTGAACTTAAGTGTTATTTATATTGACAACTTTTCAAGCAAGGCTTCAGGCACATTGGTTTTATGACAACTAGAAAGAACACAATGTTCTGATGCCAGCACTATTATGTATTTGTGATGAATGGGAAGACAAGAGATATTTAAATAGAGACACAGAGACAGGGAGCTATGGGAGAGAGACTGAAAAAGTCAATAATAGTTCTGATGAAGACTTCCTAGAAGTGGTATTGATAAGCAGTTCAGAACAGCCTGCACTTCCAAGCAAGTTTAGCTCTTAGATGCCTGAATTTTAAACAGGCAAACAAATGAACAAAAAGATTGAAGTTGAATTTCAGCTTCCACCTCCTTGGGAGTCCCCACCCCCACCTCTGTAAGACACATGGAGGGTGGTACGGAAATATCATAGATGTCTGGAAGATGAAAAGCTCTTAGTATTCAAGAGGGAAAACAGTACAGTTCTAGCAAAGGACATAAAAACTGTCAGAATTGCAGGTGGCTTCTTAACAGTCGCACATAAAAAGCAGGCAGATGCAAAGGAAACTTCCCCATCAGCATGTGTGAATCTGTCATGCAGACAGGACCAGAAAGTATCAGTCTAGCTAGGTGCTACATTTAAGTAATGAATGTGTTTTCCATAAATGATTATGTTTGTTTTCTGTTTGTTTATGCATTCCGAAGCCAAAGTAATAAAAACTACTTTGCAAACATATTTTGGACTTTTCTCAGCTGACTTTTCCAAGTCAGCTAGGGTGCATTTTCCCCCAATTACTTAAGACTCGCCCCCCCATCCCGAAGCAATTTCATTTCCAATTTTGCAGAACTGTTCTTTCCTTTTTATAGTATTTCCTAAGTCAGGATCTTGCTGAGCTCACAGAATGCTCCTCAGGCTGACCAGCAGGGACTCTTAGCAAGGGCACCAGACTGCATTGTACCCTCTTTGGGGGTTGGATGCTCTTGCTTCTTCCACCTTCTATTGTAGGACTGACTCTATGCTTTCTCCTACATTGCAAAATAAAACTACCTGGCAGAGCCTTGGGCATCCCATCTCATAGATCCAGCCCCAGTATTTATTGAGGGTTCTCCATACATCTGGTTGTGGGCTTTCCCTTGGGGTTTGGAAGTCCCAGTCAATTTTGCATTGCCTCCCCCAAACAGTGCACATTACTGGCACTTCGTGTAAAACAACTGAGAAGTTGAGTACGATACTATAAAATTCTGAAATGTTCAGTATATATGATGCCCTGGAACGAGAATGAAAGACAAGGACCCATGGAACCAGAGTCATCCAGGAAGACCCAGTAGTGAGGAGATGTCAACTTTGCACTCGGAGGATGGGAGAACCCTGTCAATTTCCCTTTGGTGCCTCCTAAGGAAAAAGCAAGTGATGGAATCAGAATAGCAACCTAGCCTGGAAATCCAAACAAGCACATCTGGGCTAGATAATTAAATGGGATTGTTTGCATTCCTGATTTCAAGTATACCCTGGAGCCCTTATTCCATTCTGCTCATGGCCTGGAGGAATGGTGGGAAGTTTCTGTGATCCCACTCCAATCTTTGAAATGTATCATCTTGAGCTCTGAGCCCCCGTGACAGCACATGCATGGTTAATAACAACTAGGAGTCCTACAAAGTCTTTCCTCTAAAGATACCCAACCATGTAATGGATAATTAATAAACCACACTAACCAGAAAAAACAAAACAAAACAAAAAAAACTCCCATTTCATAAGCCCAGAGACCTGAGGATGTTTCCCAAAACTTTCAGCCAGACAATTCAGGCAGAATTCAGATATTGTGGCTCCTACTGTGCCCAGTGTTTTTCAGACATAACCTCTTAGCGTTGATTAATTTCAACACAGGCAATGGGAAGCTTTCTTCTTTTAAAACTATTTTTCAGGACATTCCTCTTTATTGAAAATCTAGCCACTATGAGATGCATCAAATGTCCAAACAAAAGATTCCTGGCTGGGAATCAGGAAAGCAGGCCCTATGCCTGGCCAGACCTCAGTGTACCCATATGACCTTGAGCAGGACCCTGGACACTGCCTCAGGTTGTCCAAATAGTACTCACTCCCAGTTTTCTTCTCCCCAGATGCCGCTCCTCAACTCTAAAAGTTGAGAAGCTAAGCAATCCCTTTTCCAGCAATCCTTGCTTCTCAGCAAAGCCAAGAGACCCAGTTCTGGCTAACAAAATGTAAGAAAATTCCACTGGAGAATTGCAGAAATGATTTGGCTTTATGGAGAAAAGACAGAGCCATGACCAGCATCGTTTCCCTCCTTCCTCTCTTGAGCAGATAAAATTTGGGAGGATTCAGAGGGTACTTTGCAGCCAGAATGAAAGCCATCATATAAAACAGCACAGCAAGAAAGATTCTGGGCCTAGTGACATTATCAGGCTACTAAACCGATCCCTATAACTAACTACTCCAGATTTCTCGTGATGTGATGTCTTAATCCATTTTCTGTTGCTATAACACAATACTCCAGACCATAACATTTATCAAGAACACAGATTTATTTATTTTATTTTGGTTCTGGAGGTTGAGAAGTGCCAGCATCTGGTGAGGGCTTTCTTGCGGTATCATGTGACATGGTAGAGGCCAAACATGGTAAAATACAACAAGTATGCTAGCTTGGGTCTCTTTTCTTCTGGTCAGCAATGTTCTCATGGGTACACCTCATGACCTCATGTAATCTTTTTTTGGGGGGGGTACCGAGGATTGAACTCAGGTCCTTGCGCTTGCAAGGCAGGCCACCGATCCACTGAGCTAAATCCCCAGCCCTTCCCTCACGGAATCTTAACTGTCTCCAAGACTTGGAGGTCTCAACCTTCCAATACAAATAACACATTGTTGTGGTTTGTATCTGAAATATCCTCCAAAATTCTCTTGTACTCTGAGGTAGCTCTTTTGGAGGGTGGTTGGATTATGGGGATGCCACTTCTAAGTTTCTGTTAGCAGATAGGGTCTGGGTGAGAAAGGCAGCTCACTGGGGGCTTGACCTAGAAAGGCTCATTTGACTCCTGGCCTCCTCTCTTCTCTTTCTGCTTCCTGTCTACCACAGCTGGAGCATCTTACTTCAGTGACAGACCCTTCCATCATGCTGTGTGAGCCTGCCAGTTATGGACTGAAAGTTCTGAAACTGTGAGCCAAAATAAGCTCTCCTCCTTTAAATTGTGGGTGTCAAATACGGTGTCAGTAACAAGGAAAGTGACTAAGACATACATACATTTGGGGATTACATGTTCAACACATGAACTTTGGAGGGACACATTCAAGCCATGGCAGGTGAGAAAGAATTTTGTCCCCTCTGTCTCCTAGTTCATCTTCCTGAACTGACACTCTGTACCCATTAAACAATGACTCTCCCATGTTTGTTTTTAAAATAAAAGAAATGGAATAACCAAAAATTAAATAAAGACATCCTTCTAAAAATACAGATTCCTATCTATAAGAGCGGCTGCCAGCCAAGTCAGAAAAAGGAGAAAAGCACAGGAAGGAGCCTGTGGTATGGCTTCAGAAAATCTGGTTGTGCCTCTCACAACTGGCACAAACTGGTTGAAGACCCAGAACACCCAAATGCTGATGATTCTGGGTGGGGACCCAACATTCTGCCTTCTTGTCCTCTGTCCCATGCAGGTCCCCTCTGACATCTGAATAAGTTAAACCAGGAAGGGGCTCCTCCCCACCTCCCATTTTCAATAAAAAAGTAAAGTCATAGAAGCTGTCTCATTACACCATGGGCCAGCCTGTGAAAAATGTATTCTCAGTGCATTCCTACTGGCACAGATGAGGAAACTCATCAGCACCTGTTTTCAAGGGAGGCTGAGTATCAGTAGGACTCACTTGAAGGGCAGGGAGGGAAGGCGAGCTGGAGGATCTCCTAGAAAAGGCACCTCTGCTGTTCCTTCATGCCACATGCTTAAAGTTGCTGCTCTGTCCTTGATACCATCCTCACCTTCTTGGATCCTTCTTGGATATTGGGTGTTCACATGTCCCCACAAAGCCCCATGCAGTCATAGGTGGGCTTTTCAGAGGTGGCTAGATCTGGGGTGTGTAATGCTGGGAATGATTCATGGCGTGATGCTAGGATTAAAGATGTCCCCCCATGGATGTGAACACTATGAGCCAGTAGCCTGTAGAGAATACAAGGGACAGAAAAAAAAATTGTTGCTGCTTGCTAGCTTGCTGCTTTGCTGCCTTCTGCCTACCATGAACTGTTTCTCCTCTGTGACGCCCCTCTTTCATCACACCCAGCCTTGGAGCCAGCTGACTACAAACTGAAACCTCTATAGACTGTGAGCAACAATAAACCTTTCCTCCTCTAACTTTGGTGTCCGATATTTTGTCTTAGCAATAAGAAAAGTAACTAAGACAAAATCCCACACTCCCAAGGTTCTAACCTCCAAAGGACCAAATGCTTGAAACCTAAGCACTGAAATTTCTTAAGCATTAAGGACCCTATGAAATGAGATAATCAGTTTAATGTGATAAGAGCGGTGTAAATAGCTATGTCCACTGGCTAACCCGCTGATCTTGAATAAATTACTTAACATCTCCAATGCTGTTTTCTCATCCTTAAAATTAGATAATCATAGTATCTATCTCCTAGGGTGGTTGTGAGGATTAAATGAAATGATTCTAAGCAAGTAATATATGGGCATAAAGGTATGATATCTTTCCTCACCCATCATTAGGGTCATGGGTGACCCTCTTGCAACAAAGACAGTTTAA